TGGAAACCTTCTGAATAACATCGCTAATGACCACTTGATGGGAAGTTCATTGAATGCGTCCTGCAGTAATATTAGCGCAGTGCTGTATATTTGTGGAGCACTATATAATTGATTAATTGAAGTATTCGCGAGATTGTATCCGTCTACGAGAAATGTTGTTTATCAGCCTTAAGATCTCTCGTGATAAGCATTATTCTTGGAAAAAAATCACTGTAAATGTTCAACTGGCGTGGAACATTCAACACGGCTCTTCATTGGCTATCGTAACAGCATCCTCCCCCGTTGGAAATGTTTTGAGTCACACAAAAGTTTTGTCTTTAACATCAATCTATGTACTTGAAATTGTTGTCCAGGCCGCTTTGACAGAAAATTAAGTCGTTGTCCTGATCTCCATTATAACAGAGGAACTTTAGCATCACTGTTGTTCAAAAGCTTGCCGATAATACACCTAACTGTTATATAGACCATTGATGATCATCTATCCAGAATTTCCCATAGCCAGACCAAATTCATTTGAATTTTTGGACCTGTTATTCACTGCTGATTTTCGATGTGAGAGAAATAGCAAAAGAGAAGATCTTAGTTGTCTTAGAGGTTGGATTCAGTCTACGTAGACATCAAGTTACGCCTTTGACAACCGGAAAAGTTTTTTTTGATATCTATGATCAGGGTTACATTTCAATTTTTTTCCAAAATAAGATGAAAAAGAAGTAAAAGACAAAAAAGATCCTCAGACACAATAGACACAATTAGCGTCGGCAACATTCATATTCTTCACGCACTTGACAGTTTTGGTGCCTATTTCCATTATAGTGTCACCTTATTTAGGAACCAGCCATTTTTTTTGCTTTTTGAAGACCTGGAGCTCATACTTTGAAGCGACACGAATATCAAATAATGTTCATACACCATGTCTTTTTAGTCGCTCTATAGTGTAAATACAGCATTAGTTTTAAATCGTTATGTGTGACGTTCCTTTCCAAACTGTATGGCCTTATTGAGCCTCAATGAGGCGGCCACTTCAAGTATTTCGAGAAGCTTTATTTAAAAGTCCCCCATATCAGTCATGTTAAGGTGCTTACACTGTTAAGGAGACGATTTCTATTGGTGACGATTCTCCGGAAATTACGAGCGGTAATTTTGCAGGACTTGAATGTGGCGATTTCACGACTTAAAAGTGGCAATCATATGAAGAGGGTATTAAGGTAGCACCTTTGAAAAGAACTTAACAGTGATGATAAATCGTTTAAGAACTTTAAAATCCCGAATTTCTGGGAGTGGCAATTCCAAGGAATTCTAAAATGGTTAATTAAGGTTTTAATAACGGTTATTATGATAATTAAGTTCGGATGTAACACGCGTTGTTATTGGTTGAAAGAGCGTGTTTCACTTGGGTTGAAAACACGCAGCTGAGCTAAAACTGTCACGCCACCTGCCAATTTGTGCAACGTCATTTCTCGGACTTCTCTTAAACTTAATTTCGTTAATCGAAAATGTAATTTTGGAATAAGCTGGCCGACAAGTAGCAACAGAAGAACAAAATAAACGTTAGTAAAAATGTCAAGCGCAGCAACTGACGTTGTTATACCGTGAGCAAAGACGAACAACTCCAAAGAGAAAACGAAATAGACTGTCCGAGTTTTGAAGGTTTTCACACTCAATTGGATTGTAAGCTTACGTATAGTGTCAAGACTCAAACACAGCTTACACTCGTATAGTACACATAGGTTAGTGATTGCTTCTCGGAAGCTGCTTTTGTAGGTACTTCATCCTTCAGAAAATTGCTTCCTGAGACGTCAATGAGAGCCTCAGTGTATTGCAGTATATCGTCATTAAATGATAATAAGGAGTTCGAAAGAGGATATTGCAGGCTTGATATGAACTATGATTCCTGCTCTACAATACCAACTAGATATATTAGCAAAGAGTAAGGTATCAGCACTACATTTAAGCAAGTCTGTTCAACTTTTCAAGACCTTGGTTTGAAAGAATGGGCGTAGGGTACTGCGAACTTGTGTAATAAGCTCTTTCGCAGGAAAGAGAGCTGTCTTTTACTTTTGTAGAAACTACCATGATATAACTGATATGGGAAACCTCCGAAAGAGCATCTTAGAGTGACCACTCGGTGGAGCAGTTAATAAATGTGTCGAGCAGTATAATTATAAAATGCTGAGTTGAAGTGAAAAAATATCCATTTGTGATGTGCATATTTGGGATTCGCGAGATTGTATCCGTAAATTAAAAAATAAAGGCCAAATTGATCGACAGTCAATATCTCTCGTGATAATCATGATCTTAAAAAAAAGTTTGTATACACGATTTTAATTGTTTACCTTCAAATCCTGCCCCGTTGTAATGTGTATTTGCAATTTTCTTTAGATTTGGACTAAATATACAATTGTTAGTACATAGCTTTTCTAGCACAGCGGTAACATTTCTTCATATTTCCAGACCAAATTAATTTTAATTTTTAGTGTCGCATTGTGACGCGCCCTGGTCTATTAAAAACTTTTTTAGGCAGACATCAAGTCATGTCATTGACAACCGGAAAAGTTCCGACTGATAATAATAGATCAGAGCCCAGTTCTATAAATGGCGGATAACGCAATCCAACGGACAGTTATGTTTTTTTTACCGGAGTTGCATTAGCATCGGTTGCAAGCATACTCTTCACGCATTTGAGAATTTTCGTTCGTTTTTCGTTTGTTGATTTACGTCATGAAAAGTGCCTATTGGGATTCACTTTATGCAAGAATAAGTCGTTGTTTTTCTCTTTTTAAAAATGTTGAAATCATCCCATTTAGCGTCTAAGCGACGAACTGTCAGGAAATGTCCACACTATACTACTATGGAAATATCATGTTCGTTTTTTAATTGTCAGGTGTAAGGTTCCGTTCTAATTTTGTCTCAATGAGTCCAAGTCCCTCATATAAACGACATTAAAGAACTAAAAAGTAATAGGCGACGATTCTAAGGTGCTTAGAAGTGGTAATTTTAAGGGAATTGAAAGTGGCAATTCCAAGACTGAAAAGACGCAATTAAAGGGTACTTTACAGTAACGTTTTGAAGGACTTTTGGGAGGCAATTTTAATGAGATGGTGTTTAATTTGTAGGAACTTTAAAGTCCCGAACTCTCAAGGAACTCTCAAGTCGCAATTCTAAGGGCATGATGGCCGGGATCTATCATCACTGATAATTTAATATTTATTTAGTCACATAGGATAATTTAAAGACCAGAGCTCCATACATATATTGTCCGTAGGCGGGTAGCCCACTCGGTTAGCCAAACATGCATGCATCATACAGACATACATACATACATACATAAATACATACATACATACATACATACATACATACATACATACTTATACTTTATCTATGCTCGAAATTCACAATGTAGCTGTAGAGCTAACATCTTCAAGAAAATAAGCTAAAATAAAATAAAATATGCTATATTGCAATTCCAATATTATTTATAAATTATATACAACATTATGCATGCAGAGGGAAACAGAGCACAGGATTGGCTCCGTATTGTCCATAGGCGCTGCCAGCGATATAATTAGGGAATTTCTTTTCCAGAGCGTTGAAGAAAGTGGCCCCACTTTTTTCTCGAGACGTTAAGTACTTGTAAGATTCTCATGTTTGTGTCGAGGCTTGCAACAGTGCGTGGAATGTAAAAGATCGCATGACACACTAGACATGATATTACAGGAACAAGTGCCCACCATCTTCTGAATTTTAATGGCTGAGAATGGCCTTATAAAAATAGATTGTTTCTATAACAAGCTGAAAATTTCCATCGTTGAAAGCAGCAAAAAGGTTACTGTTTAAGGCTCTAGAATGAGTCAAACGCAGTGATCAGTTCTTGCCAGAGATACGGAAGTTTAGACGGTTGACGAAGATAAGATTGATCGCTAAGTGCAACAGTAGTTATGGCATTTCTTACAAATGCAACAACGGATAGAAAAATATTGAAAGTTGATATAACTATTAACTCTGTGTGTATATTCTCTGTTCAGCCTTCCACGCAATTGGGTAAATATTTCGTTGCGGTCTCTGACATTTTTAGATATGCCGGTTTACTTGTGCTGCATGGGTGTATATTTTAAAGTACAGAAAAGCTTGTAAATATTGCCTGGTACTCCACTGGGTTATATTGAAATAAACAAATTTTTTTAATTCATTTGGACCTTGCATCCTTAAAATTGCTTTCCAGTAGATTATGCGAAAACACTATGGTCTGCTGATCTAACATCCTGAGTGTCAAAATAGTCTACCTTACGGCATTTTTTAATCAAAATTTTAATCGTTTCTGAAAATCCCAAGTGACTACGCATAAAGGTTTGAGGAGACTCGATATTTACCTAATAAACTCCGTCTCGCTGTATTCAAAGCGTTCTTAAAAAGGAAACATTTGTTTCTTTGAAGTCGAAGGCTTTTCAAAGGTGTGTTGACTTAAGGGGTTGAAGTTTGACACGGTGAGCGCGGTATTGAAAACGCCTTTGTTTAGTTAATGCTATGGGGAAATCCCTTTACCAACCTTCACGTGCGTTATTCACGTTAAAATAGACGGCATTCTTTGAAAAAAGAAAAGACTCTGGTTGTTAACTTCAAAACCCCTCGTCAAACAAGCAGTTTAAGCAAAGAAAGAGGTAACATTTCACGGTCTCAACCAGACGTTAGCAGTCTCAGAGTCTCTCAATTAATTTTTGCGATTCTTAGAAAAAATCACGCTTCTTAGGTTTGGTTAAGTCATATTTATCATATCAAAGAACAAAATCCTGTAGTTAAGAAAAAAGTATCGAGGATTTTTTAACCAGAAGCCACTATCAGGTGCCATAAATGTATGGGATGTTCGTTTTCATTTAGAAGACATGACAACTAAGAAAGGACCACTGGAATAATTTTAAGAGTTCGATTCATATTTACCGCAGGCGGAAGGATCTGAAATAATCTAAAATTCTAGGCTTAGTCGACTAATAAGAGACCAACCGTTGTGTTTTAATTTTTTTTCAAGTCAAGTTTCACCCACAGCTTAATTTTCTATAATTAGTAGAAAGCTTTTGTAGCCTGCTCATGGTCTAGCTGTAAACTGACTATGTAGCTAATTCCTTGGACAGCAAAGTGTTCCTCTGGTAGGCTCCTTTACTGCTCGTGTCACCTCGTTAATTTTCCAGTAATAAAGGAACGGGTTGAGTGACGAGTTTAAGTAAACTAGGGATATTGCACCTGCCCAGACTGCTAAGCTTAATGAAGTGAGTCCATTATCAGTTAAAACTGTTACTGCAATGCTATAGGGTAGATAGGAAACAACTAATGCCAAGTGTACCCACAGTGCACTGTAGACTGCCTTTCTGTATCGCAACATGTTCAATGGAACTGGTTGGCTCGGCTTTTGTTGAACGTGAGCTTTCATTTGATTCTGTCTATGGCGAAGAGTACGGAATACCTTTGTGTATGAGATCGTTGATGTCGCTAAACATACCGGCAGAAAGATACAATTATACCAGATGCCTATACGGTATGACACTATGTATGATATCCCAGCGACTATCGACACAACCCAGAAGATGACTATAATAACGTATGTTCGCTTCAAAGTTACAACATGTCTGTATCTGAAACTCAACAACAGGGCGAAAAGTCTGTCCACGCTTATTGCAGTCATTTTTAACAGAGAGACTGAAGACAGAGGAAGGCTTGCGAAATAATGTGCAGCTAACGCGTAACGACAAAGAGTCCAATTCTCATGAATCAGGGAGAGCCAATAAACAACTTGAAAAGGCTCAGCAATAAGGCCAGTGAGGAGATCAGTTGCTGCCAGACAACGATACAAGAGTTTGGAAGGCGAATGTAGGGACGATTCCTTGTGAAGGGCGACAAGGATCAGAGTATTCCCAAGAAACGCAACAACTGAAAAAAAGATATTGAGTACTGAGAAAAATATCAAATAATTATGTGTTTGCTCTTTCCCTAATGCCGCGCAGATCAGGCCTTCATGTGGTGAGGCTTGTTTTCCTGCAATTTTAGATAGGTTTACTTGTTCCATTATTCCTTCCACGTAGCTGTTACTCACTTCAACCAACAGGGAACTCGTTAGAATCCAGCAGGATCGCTTCAGTTTTTTACCATGAATTTAAAAATCAACGTTTCTTTCATCTCTGACAAAAGCTAAACAGCTGCTTATCACATTATAAATATGTCAAAAGTGACTTTAAATTATTTACCAAATTCCTGGAAAATTAAACAAGTAGAGATTTGGTTGAGTTTTAATTTTTAAGAAATTAGCATAAAAAAGAGATGCTGAACTTATAAAACCAACAGCGTAAATTTGTCTCCAAGGATAATATGACTTTAAATGGATCCTATTAGATTTTTGAGCTTTATCGAAAGGTTCCGTATTTTTTGGCATTGCTTTTATTCCTATGAAAACATGAAAAAAGATACTTTTCTTAATTTGAAAAAATTATACCTAGAAATTGAATAAGATTCCCTCATTATCATTTGTGCAATCTTCGCACAACTGAGCAATCTGTACACAGTTTCACGGGTTGCTACTGTTTCCTAGACAACCAGTCTGCCAGCTGAATTTACACTATTAGCGACTTTTCCAGTTGATCATTTTTTTTTATTAATGCAATTTTTTTTAAACAAATTACACCTGAAAACATCAAAAAATATAATAAGTAGCTCTGCTTAAGGCCATAATCCTATGATTAACCTTCTCGAGTCCAGTTTTTTGTTGTCTCTACAAGTTACTGTTTTGCGCCGCAGTTTCAACATTATTACACAAGTTCCAAAGAAACATAAATAGAAACGGTGAATGTTGGCAGGTTGTTGTTTTTTTTATATTTCAGAGCAAACACATTTTTTTCATGTTGATTCATGGCGTAATTGCGAAATGAACAGGACAATGAACTGGGTTAGATATAAAGAAACTCGTGATTATCAGATGAACTAGCATGCAGAGCAAACGTAATTTTTAAGCGAGCGAGTGCTCAGTATTTTCGTAAAGAAAATATGGCTGCCATCTTTGAAATTAATGGCAGCGGAAGGCTGTGGAAAGAAAGAAATTTATACCAAGGGGACGGTCGACGGTCAAAAATAAGGAGAGGGGAGGGGGTGAGGTGGGGTAGCGAAGAATACGCCTGCCCGAGGTCATTGTTTTTTTGCGAAACTCTGTTCGCCCACGAAAGGAGTTTCTGATTAGTGCGGTTAAGCTCCAGTTGTCAATCGCAAGCCAAATGTGTCCTTTGGACAGTTTGCTTTTACGGCAAAATGCAGAAGATGGCAAACTCATTAAAACTAGTTAGTGTCTTTTAGAATTTGATGTGTCTCACGCAAAAAGAACAAAAAGAAGCAATTTCTATACCGGTTTCTGGAAAGGATCTTCTGGCCGTGTTTCCAACTGGTTTTGGAAAAAGCCCGATAGTTCAGGTGTTAATTCGTATGAAAGAAATTATGGCAGGGAAACCTTCGAACGTAGTTGTCGTTTGTCCGCTGCTACGTATTGTTTATGGGCAAATGGAATAAGCATCTTAGATCGGATTAACGGTAGCTACGCTCATGGATTGTCGTTTGGAGGATATATAGTCCGGCAAATATCAACTCGTATTTACATCAGCGGAGAACGTTTCGGTGAAGCCATTTTTTTCGTTGATGAAGAAAAAGAAAACAATCACACCGTTTTTCTCATCTCTAAGTATTTTTCCTAAGTAGTGACAGACTTTTAGGTTTCTAAAAACAGAAGATCTATCCTGATTACAGTATTATCAAAAGTATGATAAGAGATTTAAAATTTGGAATTCAGTTTGGTAAAATTTGGCCACCTTCTTTTGCAAAAAAAAAATATAAACTCATGTCTTCGTATTATGTGAGGAAAAATTTGTTCCAAGGACTACATAGGACAATTTATTTTCAGTTGATGAACTTTACATTGATACTCTGATTAATCGTCATTAGCAACCAATTCTTAACAGTGAGCCCGAAAAAAAGGGAGGATCTGCCGTCATCCATACATGTAAGTATGTTCAAGAGCCTGACCTCCTCTTGGTTTCATAGGTGAAAATCTTATAAAGTACACTTCAATCGATGAATTTCCACGTGATGTAAATCTCAACGAGTCATTCGATCTTACGTCTAAAAAAAATAGTGATGATAATTGGGTCTAGTGAAGCGTTTTGGTAAACTAAGGTCAGTGCACATTCATAAACGGTTTGCCTTCACCAAAACGTAGTTCCGCTTTCCTGTGCGATAGATAGCAAACGACTAATGCAACCAACAATTTATGTGTACTATACAAAAGAGTATCTAAGGACTTGCTGACTATGAAGCATGGTTGGAGCTAAACTGAGCTGAGCTTTTTTTTTCATGAAAACTTGTAGACTTTATCAGACATCAAACTCCTATGATATTATGATTTGCTAAATCTGTTATGGTTGAAATGTATTAATTTGGATCTTAGAGGTTTGAGTAGATCCCCTTTGGTTGTTAACCTAAATCTTGAGGATTAACTTACATATTTAAAAGATATGTATTGATACCAATAGTAAGCTCTTAATGCGCTCTTTGCACCGAGACATACTAAATTATATCAAGCAGAAATTGTTGCTGTATTTTTTCATACAGACCAAGATAGTTTAACGACAAAACCATCCACTACAGGAACATATATAGACTGCTTCTTACAGAAGTTATACAAACCCACAACGAGATCAGTGGAAAATACATGAATCAATGGAGAACAAGAATGGATCAATTATATGAACGGCGCCAGAGTTTTGTTGAGAATTAAGAATATCAGTCGTTAGACAACATAACAAGAGGCCTTTCTGAGGCTGCAATATACTCTATCATTCAGCAGTCCACTTATATTCATCACGCACGAGCCACCGCTATTCAATAACACCGTTAATTTTGTTAAAAAGTTTTCAACTTATTGGTTCAAAAAAGTACATTAGCCTGCCAGAGTTTAATCTGTGCATCACCTGGACTCATCAAGAAAAATATGAAAAATTAGCTCATATTTGCTTTCCTTTTTGACATTCGCGAATGAAGATCCTGAAATATTCGTTTTTCGGACACTTCGTCCTTGATCAGTTTGATTAAAAGTTTGCATTTGGAATAAATATTTGTCATCCAATTTTAATTTGCTCTCTAAGGTTTTTTTTTCAGGCGCAACTAATTAAATCATTTATGGTAGGTATTCGATGAAAGTCTGTCTGGTTATGAAATTACACATTTATCGAAATAATTACTCAGTGAGATGTTTGAAGAGTGGGTCGGAAAATGAGTGGATAATTTCAATTCAAAACACAATATTGATGAAACAGATGTTAACAATGTTTGACACGGATCGATGACCTCCCTGTACCATATACTGGTTATTCTCTTTGGTTCATAACAAAATTACCATTATTAGTTTCATGCAAAAGAAAACCTTTTCACATTGCGATGCGAAGAAAAAGCGGAAGTAACCTTCGTTGGTGTAACTGACAGTTTGGATGCACAGTTTAACGGCAAGAAGAATTAACAGTACAATGAACAAAATTAAATTTTGGCGCAGAAAAACGAAGTTTGTCGCAAAAGGAAAAAAAAAAACATTTTAAACCCAAACATTTTGAACCCTGCGATAAGAGTTGATTTCTATGAATTAATTGACATTCTCCTTACTCAAAGGACAAAATGTTGTGCTTCAATATCGGAACTTTCTAATTTTGCCCTATTGTGATTCCATCGTGCTTCCTAATCCTACTTTAAGGTCGTATGGGTTAAATTGCCTGGTTGCTGTTTGTAATTCTATCAAAAACGATAGTTTTAATCAACTTAAGGCCTAATATTTGATAGTTTGGTTTCTCCAGAGGAAAAACCTCCGTTACCTGCCACGAGACTAAACGGAAATACACCGAAATGTTTGTCTGAGTGTCTCTTTTACTGCTCGCCTCACCTCATTAATCTTCCAACAGTAAAGTAACGGGTTCAGGGACGAATTAAGATAAAACATGCTCTCTGCACATGATAAGAGTATAAAGTCATATGGGGATAGTCTGTCGTAAGGTACAACTACTGCTACTATGCTATATGGCAGAGAGCAGCATACGAATGCTACTTGAACCCAAAGTGCACTGTACACTGCGTTTCTGTAAAGTGCCATGTTCAGTGAAACTGGTTGGCTCGGCTGTTGTGAAATAAGAATTTGTACTTGATTACGGCTGCGATGGAGACGGTGGAATATTTTTGTGTATGAGAAAGTTGCTGTTATTAAACACAGTGGGATAAGAGTATAGCCATAGGAGACGGATATACGGTAATCCACAAAGTAGGCTGCTCCAGCGGCCACAGATAAAATCCAAAAGATGGCTATAACAACATATGTTCGCTTCAAAGTTACAATCTGTCTGTATCTGAGCCCAAGCACCAAGGCGAGGAGTCTGTCCACACTTATTGCGGTCATTGTTAAAATAGACACTGAGCAAATGGTATGGCTTGCTATAAAGTAAGCGCTCAGCCCAAACTTGCAGAGCTTCCAATCTCTGCTAACAAAAGACAGCCAATAAGCAACAGAAGAAGGCTCTGAAATCAAAGCGATACAGAGATCAGTTGTTGCGAGACAACGATACAGGAGTTTGGATGGCGGATGAAGAGAAGATTCCTTCCGCAAGGCGACCAGGATGAGGGTATTTCCAAGAAATGCCATAGAGCAAAGAAAAATATTAATCGTTGCGATCAATATCAACTGCTTGTGTATGTTGTCATTCTTTCCCGCTACGCATCGCAGTTGTGCAAGTGTTTCGGTTTGTTTTCCGGCATCTTTAGATAAACTTTCTTGTGCCATTATTCCCAATCCTAAAGGAGCGTTTACTTCACGGCAGCTTTTAAGTATACTCGATGGTTGTGAAATATATTTGCATTTCAAAGTATTTTCCAATAAAACCGAAACAGCTGGCTATCATAGTATAAAGCATGGGCGCCAATTGATTTATAAACAAAACTGCTCATAAGATTTTGTTTAGATTCCCTGATTATTCCATGGCTGTCATAACGGGAGAGTAATTTGTCATGAAAAGATAACTTTGCAACCAGAAAATATCTATATCTCGGCCTTTTCTCGTGTACCTTATTACAATATACCTTACGTAAATACTAACCGATCCATCAATCAATCAGGCAAGCAATAATTCACTTATTCATTCATTCAATCAACTAGTTTAACGCACCAGTCTCTGTCTCAGAGAAACTCCGCACCACTACGGAAGGACATACATAATACAATCGAAAATTGTCCATCTTATCTTCGTCTTTCGCATTTTTCCTAGCAAAAGATGAAATAGAGGTGCATGTAATTGATATTCTCAGTGAACAAGAGGCCTCAGTGTTCTCTTCTATTTGGTACTATACATATATATATATTCAACGCACGTAGTCGTATGTTCTAAACACCACTGGCAAATTCCTTCTGGAAAAAGTTTAAACTAATGTGTTTCAAAGAGTACTTTAGTTTGCCAGAGTTCAAGCCTGTACATCATCTGGGCTCACTGAGGAGAATACGAGCAATAAATTCATACTTGCTTTACTTCTCAACATTTGCGACTAAGGCTCCTCAGAAATTTTTTTTCGGACACTGTCTTTTAATCAGTTTGATTAAAAGTTTGCACTTTTGGGATAAATATTTTCATTCAATTGTAATTTGTTTTCTAAGCTTTGTTTTCACAACTAATGAAAACATCTATGGTAGATCTCTGCTGCAAGTCTATAAGGCTATAAGATTTGACATTGCTCGAACTCAGAACCTCTTGTTCGAAGAGCTGGTCGGACAATTTGATGAGAATTTTACTGAATTTAAAAAAACCCTTTAATATGTTAGATGTTAAGAACTGAATGCCAGTAACTCGGCTTGGTAACCTCTTTATGTAATACACCTGTTCTTTCCCTTTTTGTTCGGAAAAAAAATTAATTTTCGTGTTTTCGTGAGATTAATTTAAGTGTGGCAGGTACTCAACCTGTAATTTACTCGGTTTCTAGAATACAAATAAAACTAAATTGCACTAAAGCTAACATACGATTATTAGTTTTATGTAAAAGGAAAAAAAAATTACACACTGCGATGCAAAGGAAAAGGGGAAAAGGACCTACATTTATGTACTTTACAGTTTGGATGCGCAGGCGAATGGCGAGCGGAATTAAAAATACAATAACCTTAATTAAAATTTTGGCGCGGAGGAACGAAATTTGGTGCAAATATAAGGGTTGGCTTCCATGATTTAATTAACATCCTCGTTATTTAAAGGACAAAATGTTGTTCTAAGTATTTCAAACTCGGTTCTTTCATATAACAGAGAACATAGAACAATCTTCTCTTCCGTTATGGTGATTCCCTGTTCTTTATAATCCTTCTTGGAGGTCATTTGGATTCAATTAGGCTCAGTACTGATCGAAATCGACAACAAATAATATTTTTAACCAGCTAATGGCCTAATATTTCATATTTGGTTTTTACAGAGACAACTTTCGTATCCTGTCTAGAGACTAAACCCAAAGACAGCGAAGTGTTTGTCTGAGTGTCTCCTTTACTGCTTGCCTCACCTCATTAATCTTCCAACAGTAAAGTAACGGGTTAAGGGACGAATTAAGATAAACTAAGCTCTCTGCACATGACAAGAGTATAAAGTCATTCGAAGATAGTCTGTCGTAAGGCACTACTACTGCTACTATGCTATATGGCAGAGAGCAACAGACGAATGAAACCTGAACCCAAAGTGCACTATACACGGCTTTTCTGTAAAGTGCCATGTTCAGTGGAAGTGGTTGGCCTGGCTGTTGTGGAACAAGAATTTGTACTTCATTGCGGCTTCGATGGAGACGGTGAAATATTTTTGTGTATGAGAAAGTTGCTGTTATTAGACACAGTGGTATAAGAGTATAGCCATAGGACACGGATATACGGTAATCCACAAAGTACGCTACTCCAGCGGCCATCGATAATATCCAGAAGATGGCTATAACGCCACAAGTTCGCTTCAAAGTTACAATCTGTTTGTATCTGAGCCCAAGCACCAAGGCGAGGAGTCTGTCCACACTTATTGCGGTCATTGTTAACAGAGAGACTGAGCAAAGGGTATGGCCTGCTATAAAATATGCGCCAAGCCCAAGCTTGCAGAGACTCCAATCTTCGCTAACAAAAGACAGCCAATAGGCAACAGAAGAAGGCTCCGAAATCAAACCAACGCAAAGATCAGTTGTTGCAAGACAACGATACAGCAATTTGGACGGCGGATGAAGGGAAGATTCCTTCCGTAAGGCGACCAGGATGATAGCATTCCCGAGAAATGCCATAGAGCAGAGGAAAATATTAGCCGTTGCGATTGATATCAACTGCTTGTGTATGTCGTCATTTTTCCCTGCTTTGCATCGCACTTGTGCAAGTGTTTCGGTTACATTTTGCTTTTCAGCATATTTAGATAAGCTTTCTTGTGCCATTATTCACACCGCTAAAGGAGCATTTATTTCAGGTAGCTCGTAAATGTATTCGAGGATAGCTTTAAGTTTGTGGAGTAGATTTGCATTTTAAAGTCTTTACGATAAAGGCTAAACAGCTGCCTATCAATATGAAACATGTCTTCTTATTAAATTGTCTGTAAGACCGCTCATAGGATTTTCTTTTGGTTCATTTACTGCTTTTTGGCTGTCATAACTGGGGTATACTTTGTCACCGAAAAATAACTTTTTAATAGGACATTATTCATATCTCGGCCTTTTCTCACTTTCTTTGACACGTTATTGCAATCTTTTGTAAGTAAATATTCATCGATCCACCTATCATTCACACAAGCAATAATCTAATTATTCATCCCTTCACTCAATCGACTTTTTAAATGTGCCAGTCTTTGTTATCCCGAAGAAACTCCTCTTTACTACTCAAGGCCACTTAACGATACAATGAGACGTCCATTACCTAAACCTATGGAAAGCCTAGTTTAAAAAGCCGCAGAACCTTAAAGACATTAGTTTTTTGAAATATTTTCTTTGAAAAAGTAATTTTCCGCACCAGTGTTTTTTCGCAAATGGTTTCAAAACAGCTGTATACGCGCGTTGTAACACTTTCTTTATTGACTGAGAAAAAAATCTCTCAATAGTTTATTGTTCTGAGAGAGACTGTGAGCCATTGATAAGATCAAGAAGTACATCTACGTCAAAATTCATCCATCGCGAAAGTGGATCTTTTGACGAAGCTTACCTTGTTTTGTATTTCTGAACGTGTAATAAGGCTTCTGTGATAAACCAATTAAGGGAATTAACATCTCCTGAAATTAATGGTAATTTGAAAGATTACGTTGGTTTCCACTTTTTCTTTTTCTCTCGTCATTCAGCAAGAGATCGTAAGTTTGCATATATTAAAAGTTACTGATTAACGCCTCAAATTCCCATGCGCTCAATATACATTTATATTTTTAATTTTTGAGATAGTGTGCACTCTCATCGGTCGATTAGTGCGTTTAGATTAAAATGATATAACCTCGATTGCGATGTCTCGCTCTCTGTGCTTTCTGAGAAATACTTATAAAAGTAAAGATGAATTTTCCCATGCACTCGGAAAGATAGGAAAATTCTTGAAAGTAATGCAAAGGCTCGACAGCTTCTTGGGTTTGCAAAACTTTCTCGAATTATCCCAACTCCCCGTAGATAAAGTCTTCTATACATGTAACTCCGACTTTAACCGCTTGGCCGTAGAAGGTCTGGGTACGAGACTACCAGCCTCCTATAAACGACAATAGCGCTCAAAGTGGCCAGATTCCTTCGTTGAACCCTAAATTTTGTGAACATTCCAAAAAAAAATTGTTAGAATTGTGAATTAATTATTTAGTAAATGTTGAAATTCGAAATTTTAGTACCTGTTTAACATTATTTTCCAAGAACCAGCGTTGAGGGAGGTGGAGGGGAGGGGTGGGCGAAGGATCTTGTCACGATAAAATTTACCTGATCCCCTTATTGGCAGTAAATTGGCAGGGAATTTTCATAAGTCCTTCCTTTATACTCTGTCGGCGACGGCTGATCACTCCCAAAGTCCCTTGCCCCCCCCCCCCCCCCCCCCCCCC